ACTTGAATTATAAAGCCATATTCCCAACAAAAAGATGTCAAATTGGGTATGATTTGTTTTAATTCAAATTTTAAAGTAGTTTTGGAGCATGGACATATTTTAGACATGAATTCACATATTTATATGTAATTTCTAGAGGCATATGTTAGGATCCAAACGCGGAACAAACAACTATTAAAATATCAAGTACTCAATAATTTAATGGTAAACAGGCTACAAGCACAAAGATAAACGATACACAATATTTAACGTGGTTCGACTCTACCATTGAACCTACGTCCATGGAGAGAAATCTGTTCTTTATTATGAGAGAAAAACCCTGCACAAGAATACAATTTGAACCCAAGCCCAACTCTTGTATACCATCTCTCATCTCCCAAAAACCTTCTCTCACCCCATGTATATGGCTACATGTCATTTCTTGTGTGCCATTGTGTGACTTATGTGTAGTATGCCAACCCACCTATTTATAGGGAACATTATTTGGCTAAAACCCAAATAACAATAGGAAACCAATTCTAATTCCTAGACTTGTACAGAATAGGAAATAACTTCTAATCCTAAACTAAATAGAATATTCCTTGACTACTACTTCAAGTAAATAAAACCAATAAGGAAACTAGTTGCTTTCACACAAAATAAGAAATCTATCTAAAAGAAATTAAGTCAATTTCCTAACAGTATATTTGATTACAGACTTAATATTTTTGGAACAATTTTTTCATGGTTAGCCAAACATAATCAAGAATTTAATTCAATATTTCTGAAACTTGTAAAAATAAAAAAACAATTATGACATCATGTTCATGTTAGTCGATTTTTTAGAACTATCCGATTCATCCGATCAGTTAACCCTTGACCTAATAATTTAGCCGAATAACTATTTGGTTTGAATTTAACAACACTGCGAGCAGCGCTAGCCTCTTTGACACATTAGAACTCACGTGTTTACGACAAATTAGAGATCACGTGTTACAAGTAGTTGTAGAATTCATGTGTTAAGTATTGCTGAACAATGCAAATGAAGATTGCGATATCTTTTTTTTATCACAAATTAGGACTGTGAGGTTTATTAGAGACTTGTACAAGTATTTTCTTTTCATTATTTTTAAATGAGATGTACCTTTCTGATCTTCCGAACTATGTTTCCATAAATCATTGTTTGGTGAATTGAAGGAGACAAAAGCAAAGAAGGATATCTCTAATTGGATGCTTAGGGCCACAAACGAGCTGTTTTGGTGGTACATGGCTTGGAATCACTTCAAATCATGTCTCAACAATAATTGGGTAGTCGATCCACATTAATGTTTTTTGGTCAATGATATTCAATTATTTGTACTTCAAATCATTTTCATTTTTCTCTTCCCGCTCAATCTTTCATCGCAGAATTTTTGCATTGCATACAAATTCTGTACAAAAAGAGAAACCTGTAATCCTATAATGCTATATCGAGATATTACATGCAATTTTTTAAGTGGGAGATTTCATTTGGAAGAGGACCATTACGACGTATCGAAGGTTGAAGCAGGGTTGCTTTTGCAGAAGAACAAAACTTTTAATACTTATTTCATCTTATTGATTAATTTGTCTCCTCGTTTTGTTAGGAGCAAACTTTACTAACATCATATGAGAGACTTTATTAACATCGTATGAAGGTCCAAATTTTGAGGAAAATTAACATCATACACTATAAGCAACTTAAACGACATTGAATCAGCTTTCAGAATATTAGGGTAAGAGTGTTTTGCACATTCAAAATGAGATATAAAGTTTCAAATCTTGTCAAAACCATATGTATACTTTGGTACAAAAACAAAGATCCACGTCCTTTCAATAAAAGAAAAAAAAAGGGTCAAACAAAAACTAGCTAGTTTCCGTTGAACGAATTGGCCAAATGAGTTTGGCCGGGATACTTGTCTTAGGAGCCGGACACACGCTAGTAGGCTAGTTCTGGCTGAGCGGGCTAAGTGGTTCAAAATAAAATGATGATGACAGTAATAGCTACAAAATAAAATGACCAAAATTTTGTTAGCATAAGGAAAGATTGAGCTTGGTATTTGATAAAATTTAATTTCTCAATTTTTTCTTGTTCATGTATATTTTTAGAAGGATGTTGTCATTTTTTGTTAGCCAAATTAGTCGAATATTAATTACTTAACCAAAACTCGTAAAAGGGGCTTGCATGTTTTCTTGTTAAACTTCAGGGGGCAAAATAGACATAAAATCATAATTCATGCCTCACGGGTAAAGTAAAAGTTGCTATACTCAGATTTGGATGGGACCATTTAGAATCAAAATTATAAGTTGAGGGACAAAATAAACACTTTAAAAATTTGAGAGACCAAATAGGACATTTAGTGAAAGTTGAGGGAGTGTTGAAGTCATTTACCCTTTTCAAAATTTTTGCAGAGTTTCTTCAAGGTGTTATCTTTCATTTTCAAACTAAAAGAAACTATTTTGGATGAGCTTGTCTTTCTAGGAACAATATCTAAATTTGAATATTTTGAAAACAAAATTATACCCTTATGATTTTTGGCACAATCTTCAACACATCAAATGTTTCAAGTAGCTTTAATGAGATATATAAAAGCAAAGAACAATCTCCCCAAAAGCACTGTCATCCTCATGTTGGGCAAAGTAATTGGACTCTTTGAGGCCACAAAGGAGCTGTTTGGGTTTGAGCAATCTTATATAATCCAGATAGCCCGTTAACTCTAATTGCTTTCTTTATTTGGGTTTAAGCAACCTTATAATCCACCAAAAATAAAAAAGCGTTAACATTATAACATACATAGATTAAATCTTTAAGAATTAATTAAAAGAAATGCAAAGAAAAAAAATTTTCCGCCACCTTCCATCTCTCTCCATAATAATTGCGTCCATCACTTTTTGAAGTTTAAGACAAAAAAAATAGTTACTTACCATTATATCTCTTTTTATCAAACAAATTATTGAAAGTAATTTTGCCGTGTGTTAAAGAAATTGTAACTAAGATTGCAAATAATAATGCATTCTCCTGATGCTCCCTTTGCATCCGCCAGTGATTCCGGCAATTTCTCTGTCCACAAACTATTGAAAGCAGACGGCCGAATGACCTATTTATTTTTTATTCATATCACTTGATCCTCTTAAACTATATCACTACTATTAATTTACCTTCTAATGTTATCTTTTAATCATTTCACCTACATAGGTAATTCAATTTAGCATGTTAACAAATTTTAGATAAAAATACCCTTTTATTTTGCAGCATTACTGCATTGTTATTATCACTTTATTCCTTTAAATTATAGTGATACAATCGCTTTACTCCCTAATATTATATTTTAGACATTTTATCCCCTTGTTAACCTAACCAGTATGTTCAAAAATTTTTTAATATATTTACCCTTTTTTTATATAATTAAAAATAAAAAAGTTAATATGGTTATTCTTCTTTTTTCATCACTCTAAGAGTTTCAAAAACATAACATAAATGGATTTTTCAAATTTCCTTTTTTCACACTTACTAATGCTAAGAAAGGAAAACAAATAAGAGAGAAGAAGATAGAAAATTAGACTTTGTAAATAAACAAAATAAGGAAAAATTTAATATTATCTTATTACTTTAACATTGTCGGGATTAGACCTAGAATTGGGTGGTAAACAGAAAAATAAAGTAATTTTAAAATAATAAAAAATATGAAATTCTTTCTTATTTGCATTTAAGAAAAATAATTGAACTCTCTGTCTCTCTCCCTTTCTCTGTCTCTCTTCCCCTTCCTATCTTTCCATTTTTTTCAATATTAATACGATTACCAAGAAGAAAGAGATTAATGTTTTGACTTTTTTTATTGATACTACAAAAAGGAAGAGTCACTCTAATTTTTTTTTTATTATTACACAAAGATGAGGGTACTTTCTCCTAAAGTTGTTTAACTTGCTAAGTTGGTTTAATGGTGGGATAAATTTCTTAAAAAATAACTTTAGAGATAAGTTAATAATAAGGCTATAGCTTATGGAGTTATGGGGATAAAGTGATAATAATTTTAAGGGTTAAACATGTCTTTTCACTTGAATTAACAAACTCTATTAGGTTTGACTGTTGGTTTTGGAGGCAAAGTGACCAAAAAGAAACACTAAGTGAGAAATTGATAGTGGTACCAAACATAAAGGGGTAAAGTGATAATAACCACCCCTGATTAAATCAACATTTCTTAAAAAGTTTTTAGCTTGTTTGGATTGCTTTTTTTTTTTCGAGTTTTTATAGAAAATTGTATTGTAATAATTTGATATATGTGAGATAAAAAGATGATTGAATAATATATTTGCGAAAAACGTAAAATGTTTTAGGAAAAAATGGCAATCCAAACAAGATTATTTCACTATAAGTGGGCAACAAAAACTTTCAAGTTCTTATAAAGTAATATTGGGTTAATTCTACTTTGCACCCTTTAGCTATAACTAAATTTGCACTTTGATTCTTAAATTTCAAAGTGAGACACCTTAGTTCTTAAAATATAAAACATGCCCTACTTAAATAAAATTTGTTTTATACTCAAATGTAAAAGTTAGGGACTAAAGTGAGATAAATTTTACTAAAGTGAGACAAATATTACACTTTAGGAACTAAAGTTTTTCGTTTTGAAGTTTAAGGGCCAAAGGAAAAATCTAAATATAGTTAAAGGGTGTAAAGTACATTTAACCCAGCTGGTAAAAGAAAAATTGTGAAGCATTGAAAAATTTTGGTTTGAATTTCCAAAAGCAGTAAACTCAATCGATATGAGGACTAGTTCTTCATATTTATCAAACCATGAGCTTTTGTAGCTAATCGACTCACTATAAATAAACTAGTGGATACAGTCAAGTGACATGAAAGATTGAGGGCCACAGGATAACGTGGCCATAACAAAGCACAATGATAGGTTATATACTGTAGTAACTATTCTTTTATATTCATCTCAATCAATAAATGGGACAGAAGAACTCCAATCAACGAATAACAAGTACAGAGCAAAAGTGAAGTTTCTACTTTCTTCAGGAGATTTCCATCTATCTTGATATCGTGTAACCATTAGCCTTCTGGCAAGTGTCTCCTTAATCTTCTGTATATTTATGCTGCTCCTAGCTACCTCCAGAATCTTCTTTTCCTTCCATCCTGTATTATAAAATGCGACACAAGCATAAATACCTTTCAAGTGGGATCAAAAGTAGATAACATCAAACCAGCATTACTTGTCTAGACAGTTTGGAATCACTTGAATATTGGTCTTTCACAAGTACAGAGCATCTTGTTTGTGTTCTATATTGGCTATGGCTTTGAGATCATCTTCTGTAAGTAAATGTGCTTCAGTTTTTTGTGTAGTTTGTTCTCTTGCTATACTAGCAAATAAGGGAACTGATGATTTGATCCCTTTAGTCTTCTTGTCTATTTTTGTCTGATTAATTTTAGTTTTGATAATGCAGACTCATCTCAAATCTATGGTAGGGCTTTTAAGAGGAAACTCCAATTTTTCAACATCAACCACTCCGAAAATGAAGGCCTTCGTCCCCACAGCTGATTTAGTACTGCCCCAAGACGTCAAAGCAAGGTAACATCTAGCCACCATTTTTTTTTTTTTTTTTGCAATAAAGCAATTCAAAAGATAAATCAATTTAGTTGGTTATGCAAGTAAAGTAATAGAAACACTACATTTTATTAGATTTTTTTTTTAATGATGTTGTTGAGGTTTGAATTTGGTTTCATAATTGAAGAGAAGAATCCTTGGAAAGGCTCTGCTTTAAATATTTGTGAATGTGCCAATATTTAATGGTCTTGATATTTTCAAGAGAAAAAACAAAATAATAGCAATATGTTGGCTTTACACCCCCAGGGCAAAGAAAGGAGATTTTGCACCAATGTTTATGGCTATTGGGATGATTGGACTGTCAACTAGTTTGGGGATGTACATAGCATTGAAAGAGCTTAGGAGAGGACCAAATGTGTACGTGAAGAAATCAAGAAGGGAAACAATTCCGGAGGTGGTGGAGCCTGAGCATGTACTAGAGGAATCCGAAAAATTCATGAAAAGATCTATCTTCCGAAAACTGGCTCATATCAATGATAAAGCTCGTGAACAAGTCATACCTAATCCCATTATAGGAGACATCTCTTCGAGGTACTTTATATTCAGCTATAATGATTTTCTAAATTCCTAAAAAAAAAAAAGATTTTAAGAAAATTACATCAGTCAAGTCTTCCAAAATTCTAAGAAGAGGTGAATTTTGAAGGAATAAAAATTTGGTGTTTTTCTTCTCATGGTCATGCTGATAACAATAATTGTGTTTGAATCGAGTATTATTTGAAATAATTATTGTAGCTTTTTTTTTTTTGAAAAAATATAATAAAACGAGTTAAAAAATATATTTATTATATAAGCAAAATGCTACATGCAAAAATATTATCCTGTTCCTAAGCGAACGCTGCTGCAATGCTAGCATTGTCAAGGAGATTCAAGACTTCTTGAACAATAAAAGCTTTTAACAAATTAAAAAGCTTTTGAGAAAATAGAACAACTTTTTATTTGAGTATTTCTTGTCCATGAGTTACTATCACGAATTTAAGCCAACATAAGAAGATTTTTTTTTTTTTTTTTCAATTTGCAAGTGGAGTTTTCTTTTTGCCCCTATAGCTTTGGCCATATGTTCACTGGATTCCATTAACCAAGAAATTCAGGAAGTAAAGCAATCTTTTGCCTGGACCTTACAAACAAAACAGACCACCATTTCTGAATCCTGTTCACATGTATTTATTTGATGATCAATCAGTATGAATTGAACAATCGAAGCACTTTTTCTTTTTTTTTTTTTTTTTTTTTTTTTTTTTTTTGTTTTTTTGGGCTGCAGATTCTGTAAAAGAGAAAAGTGGAAAATGATGACAAATTTTTGCTTTGTATTACATTGCAGGCCTCCACGGGCTGAAACACTGAAAGACATGGGAGTGGACCCGATCCCCCACTAGTCATGTTATTTCTACAATTTGCTCCAAATTAACCTTTTCACATTTCTCACAATCAGAACAGAGAATTATTGTATCATTGTACATGTGCCCCGATATTCATTGCATAAAGATATAAAAAAAGAACTCTTCTAGTGCTTTTATCTACAATGTTTTCTCCTTCTCCAACACCATAAATTATTACCTTCTTTTAGTACTTTTGTCTGCAAAGTTGTCTCCTCATCCAACATCATAAATTAATACCTTCAAATTTTATGTGATTTGGACTAGTTAGAAATAAAGGGATGTTTATAGCCCCAAAAAAATTTTGAAATTCCTTTGAAACGAGTGCCTCATGGGCATGAAGATGGCTTCATGTGTTAATTTTTTGAAAAGTGTGAAACTAATTTGGAAAAGTGTATAAATATAGGGGCATAAAAAAAATAAGAATGTGTACATTTATATGTTCGGTATAATTTAAGTATATTAACAATTGTCTCAAGAGCATCCGATTAGAAAAATTCATATAATATATAGGATCCTCAAAGAAGTGTCATGGTCATTAAATAAAAAATTTAAAATAATAGATCATCAAACAAGTCCATACGTCCAACAAAAGGAAACACAAAAAAAAAAAAACACAATATATCTTCGTAATTGGTTAATTCATCCCTTAATCTTATTGGTTAGGTATAGAAATAAAATTTTACATTTTGAATTTGAGCATTATGCCATAGATTTTTTTTTTAATCAATTACATCCTTTGCTTTGTACGATATATATATTTTTTGGTTAGATACTGTTCTTAAATGCATAACTTTTGCCCACTAAAGTTCAAATCCTGGCTCCGCGATGGGACAACGTTAGAGGGCCAATACTTTCGGATTACAGAGCAAAGCAGCACTTCTAAATCTTCCATCTGACTATATCTTACTATTTGACTGTACCTTAGTATATAGAAAACGGAAGAAAGGATTAATGTTTCTTACACTATCAGCATTGGATGAATGATAATTATGTAAAATTTATATTTAAAATTTAATTTTTACACGTGTCATGGATCTAACGGTGATAGTGTGTGCACTGTTAGTGTATATAAGATTTACTTACTTACTTAATCTATTTTTATTTCTAAAGACAATTATATCGTTTGAACCACTCTTTTCCAAATAACTTTACATTTCCTTAACAAAAATTTATAACTTCGCTAAGATACAAAAATAGTTCAACTCTTTTAAACTATTACTACTTTTGGACAAAAATTAATTCAAATCTTTTTACTATCTTTTTTATTAGTCGCACACATATGAAGTGTCACTAATTCTAAATAGATTGCTTTTGTTGGTAACATGTTTTACTTATTATTAAAATCTATAAAAGTTAAATCTCTAAAATCATTTTCGCTTCGTTGTGCATATATCCAATTCTAGTAGTGTGCACACTAAAATGATTTTACTGAAGGTAACATATATAAAAATATTTATAAGTTTAGAGAAGACACACTACTTGCGGCAAGTATAAAAATTCTTCATAATAGATAAAATAATTTGCAAAGTTAAGCAAATTTGCATTTGCATTTTTCTTTCACAAAATTCTAATAATTAAAATCTTTTTTCTTTAATTGTAAATGGAACCAGAAGCGTTAAGGGTATTTAAGTGTAATTATGAGAAACGTTGAGGGAAAATTATTTCCCTAAAAGAAAAAGTAAAACCCTTTTATAAATTGGCTGAGCTCCCTCTCAGGTCTCAAATTGCCATACATGTTCCCAGAAAAGTCTCAATCTTTACAGGAAGACCCCTGCACTCCCACAAACATGTACTACTTCTCAAGTCAATAATCTTTCTAAAACTTGAAAGAAACTTTTTTGTTACTCCAAGGCTAAAGGGTTCCACTGCCAAATTCAAAGTTAAAATTTCTATCCATAGGAGTATAGGACTAATAGGCGTTAATTTTTATTATCTCCGTTATCAGGGCATTTCTCTTGCTTTATTGATCAATTTCTGTTTTTATTTTGCAGCCAACCATCAACGAAAGCAAACAAATCATTCACCAACGAACAATTTTCTCATTTGCCAGCCTTTACTAGGTAATTACAACTGAATTTCAGACTTCTTGATATCTCTGGAAATATTGATTTTTATGTTGATTGTGCAAACTGATACGTTTAATATAACTAGTACTTTTTCTTTTTTGGTGGTGCTCTTGAGAGAGAGAGAGAGAGAGAGAAGGTTGGAGTGTGGTAATATTCTTGATTCTGTTTCTCTAAACTATGATAAGGGAAGTTCAAGCACAAGTAAATGGTAGTATTGGTATTGTCTTCAAAAGGTTTACATAGATTATGAGGCCTAAACTTACTTCATTGGTATGACATTAAAGATACTTACATGAAGTTATTGAATAAGATGCTATTGTGAAATTTCATAAAGTTACTTCATTGTAATGACATTTCATTTTTATGTAGTGGTAATACAATATATTATCAGCAATGTTACAATGTGTTCAACGAGCTTTGCCTGTTCTGTAGCTTGAACCTTCAGTGAATATTGTATACAACCTCCTGCTGCTCTATGCATTCATTGGAAATTTGATGGTGTATGAGCTAGTGTTTTGATTCTAGTGTGTGTGAGTGAAAGCAAGAGGGAAGTGATGACATATGAGATAGCATCCTTGAAAGAACAGACTAATAAGCAAATTGTACATTGTAAGCTTGATTCTTTAACATTTGAGTCTGCCTTAAGATTTAGTACTGTCAAGTGAAGGGATTTAGAAGAAATAAGTAACCTGCTTATTCTCTGAACCATTGGTCTGCTAGAAAATGGAACTTAAGAGTCAATTACTCTGCAGCCTTTTGTGGCATCTTCTTTGAGTCCTTAGTAGCAACTAATCACAGGTTAAACATTACGTACTACCACAAAATAAAGGTTCATTGCACTTGTTAAATGGAAAGTGCACTGACAAACTACTTAACAAATTCAAATTTCATTTACTTCATAGATGTGTGACCGTGCTGTTTGTAAATTGAGAGGTGCTTCAAATCTGTAGTCTGGATGTTCCTAACATTTCAAAAAATGCAAAGGTTCAAAAGATATAACCAAAATGGTTATCTGATTGGTGCTGTGGATTTATGATAGTTTTTCTGTATATTCGTGATATTTATTGTCCCTGTTGTTTGTTGGGCTTTCAAAAAGTGGTGAGATTAGCAAAATGCATATAAAAGGTACTGGGATGAATTTTTGCCACCACTTTTGGTATTCAGACATTCTGGACACTGAAAAGAATCCAACTTAGATGTTAAGTTTCTCTAAAGGTCTACATACAACTAAGTTTCAGCATCTCAGGCCTACTGAAAGAATCCAACTAACTGGTGATGGCTTGTCGGAGGTGCAAATGTTAAATATTCTATTCCATCTAGCATATCAAGCTTTTAGATCAGGTGGTTATGTCAAGAAATCTAAAATTTGCCTTTTTTTCCCTATCAAGCAGTGGAGTAATAAAACATATTCGAACTCTGGAAGGCTGCTAAAGACTTAAAAGCATAGATAAAATTAAGGCCCTTCAAAACCATTTCTATGTTGTTTCAGTAAAATCTAGTTCCAGTTGAAGATAGGCATATCTATTTGCACTTTCCTATGTAAAATCTTGTCATCTGCCACATTGATTGTATTCATTATCATTTCCCTTATTCAGTTTACGTCTTTCCAGAGAGTGCTGAAGCTTGAGCCACTAGTGATGTTTTTGTTGAGTTTATTTTGGTCCCACTAGACATAATTAAAGGAAGACCTCAAGTTGGTTGATTTTGCAAAATCGGTACTTGCCACCACCTGTTGCTGTTAGCTCAATTTTGTAATACTTTTCTTTGAGTTCGTTGTTCACTAGCAGATACATGATTAAGGATAAGGCTGCAATCTGTCTATTTTGAAAGTCCTTCCAGATTTATTTTCTTCAATGACTGAAAATTCCTTGTCTCTCATTAAAAACCCACATGCTGAAATTGGATGCCTGCATCTGGTTCTGCATGCTTGATACATGTAGTTTGGCTAAGTAGGCTGCAATTTCTCTATTTTGAAATTGCTTCCAGATTTGAGGGGGCTTGCTTGAAAATCCTAAAGGAGAAAAAAGGATAAATATGAACAAGAAAATCCAACATGCTTTGATGTTTCGCTTGACTTGCTTGGAAAACCCATAACTTGCTGGTTCCCTCTCAAGTCTCAACTTTGACACATTTCACCAAAAGGTCTCAATCTTTAAAAGAAAACATATGCTACTCTTTAGTCAGTTATTCCTGGACTCAGAACTCGCCATCACAGTCAGTGGTACTCTTTTGATAACTTGAAACTTTGGAACCTTTTTTAGGACTCTAGGATGAAAGAGCTCTTCAAAATTTAGATTTTTATCATCTGAGGACGGAAGGGAGCTAGTTTTGTTGTCCTCTATGATCAGTATATTGCTCTGATTTTCTGATCCTTCTATACATTTATTTTGCAGCCAGCCTTCAACAAAAGCGAACAATCGCCAATCACAAAACATTTTCTCATTTGGCAGCCTTCACTATGTAGTTGCTCTCAATATTCCTTTCTTCTTGGATTATGTAAAAAACTTAGAATTTAAGGTTGGTTGTGCCAAGTGATACATTTTCCTGTTTACTAGTGCTTTTTTTTGGTTTGCCTGTTGCTTTGAAATTTTAATTATGAGGAGGGGAAGTTTGGGTCCTAGTAAATGTTAGCATTTTTTATTATCTTCAAGAGGTTTAATTATGGTGTAAGCCTAAGTTTTAGTTAATTGTATGACATTACATCTGAATTTTGTAATTGAGAATTTCAAGATTCAAATATGCAAAACTTCATAATTTTTTTATTTTTATTTTTTGGCTGTAGTATGGGGAGCTAGTCATATAGAGTGCAGATATCTGATTATGAAAGAAAATTATGTTTGCTCGCTCAAAATCAGGCTTACAAATTGAACTTGGAGATGTATGTACTAGAAGCCCTGATCTGAATGAAACAACTGCAAAGGAAAAAGGAATAGATTAATGAAATAAAATAAAAAATACAGCAGCTCATGATTGAGAAGGAACAGTGCAAGGATATGAGATTGGGTAAATCTGATAGTTTTATGCTGGTGATGAGTTCATTTGAACAATCTGCAACCTATCATTAATGAATAAGAAGATGATTTGGGCAAATGTGCAGATTTCTAGTTTGATTGTGTCTCAAATGTGCCTAACATGCCACAAACTGTGAGAAGATGAGTTTTTGTGACCTAGACTTCTTAAATTAAGCTGTTAGTTTGTCTTTTAAATCAAAGCATTTTGAACCTTGATTATAGTTGTCAAAGGAGGAAAACCAGAAATTTGTAAATAAATCGATATAACACGATTTAATGTTTCAAGTTAGTTTATAAAATTTTTATCATCAAAAAACTGTGCTGAGTTATAGAAGTGCCACAAATGTAGAGACGTGTTATACTTTTGTCTTAATAAAAATGCAGTTTGTATGAGTTGAGAGAAAGTTCTGTTCACAAAGAATTACCTAGAAATGAGCATAGGTTTTAATGAGCTCCACTTCTTTTACTATCTTCTGAAACTGCACTTGTATCTCCTGAGCTAGATAGGCCATTGTGGCATAAAAAGTAAATGGAGGTTGTGCTGTGTAGATTAAGGGTCTTTAAACAATCAATCAAAGGAATTAGGAATACAACAAATGAGTACTCGTTTGAGGAAGACTAGCGTACAACTTTGATGGTCTTTAGACAACAAATGAATGGAATTAGGAATACTAAACAAGAATCTGAAATGTTGGCTGAGTACTTGATTGAGGAAGACTTGGTGTATAACTATGATTTCCTTTGTTGCTTGACAGCATTCTATTACCTCTAAGGATTTTGCTAGTTATTGACAGCTAGCTACATCTAAAATCCCACTTATTCCTTTTAAACACACAAACCCATTTATACTTCAAGCAATACTCATGAATGTTCACTTATTGTAAAGAGAGAACCCTTTGGGACAAAAGACATGGACATGATATATCCATCCTTCGTTAAATGCAAAAGGAATTGCTTTTTTTTTTTTTCCTTCCTCATCATGTGGTTTTATTGTACTGCAATAAATTAGTAGTATTTAACTCAAGCAGTCCATATGCATTTGAATTGGTAGAAGCCTTTTCATTCGTGTAAGGGGCACTGCATCTCCTATACACTCTACTGTTGATTAACTAGGTGGGTGATGGAAAGGCCTAAGGCTTGGCCTCCTATTTTTGGGAAAATGACTGTTTTTTGTTTCTCCAAGTTCTGTATCTTTCTGGTGGAATGGAATATGTGGAAAATAGTTTAAGATTTATCTGCAGAAAGTAAATGTATCTTCAATAAAAATGTTGTCATTGCAAGTAGAGTGAAGTATTAATCTCGCAATTGCCACGGTAGAACAACAGTTCTTGTACTGTTGTCAGTAAGCTAAGGTTCCAAGTCATGGTTTAACATTTGGCAGTTTGTGGCGAGGAAAGGTAACATTGAAGGGCCTTCACGCAGGATTAGCTCAAAATCTTTCTTGTGTCTTACTGTGAATTTTATATAACCGCAACAGCTGGATGATGCCCTTTTTCCATGCAGTTTCGAACAACATCATGCACTGCATGTCCTGGATTCTATTTCTGCAATGCGTGATATATGTTCTTTTGGCTCAATATGCTGCAATTTACCTAATTTGAAATTCCTTCCAGATTTCAGATTCGTCAGGGACTGAGCATGGCTTGCTCGATTTATTAATACTTTTTCATGCAGCCTTTCTGTTGGATTTTCTGGATGCATTTCCCTAATCATATGGTAAAATGCTTCATACCTCGTAAATTTTAGATGGATTAACTAAATGTTAAATCTATGCATGATTTTCTTGTCCCATTCCATTCTCTGTGAGATAACTGATGGTCATCTTTTATTACTCATCATGAGATAAGTATCATGACCACATTCTAGTTCTATATGGAGAGGTCTAAAGAAGCCCCATCTTTGGCAGGCAGGAGGAGCATGTTGATGTTTTCAGTGCCAGGTCTTCAAATTGGACTTGATGAGAAGGTTTTTACTATATATCTTCATGATTATTTCTGATGATACATGCAATTATAACTGCTCATCGTAGGCTTGAAGAAAAGATGCTAAGTCATGAAATAAATCAAGTTGGTAGCGTTATTGAGTAGATGCCAACAAGAATCTGCTTCTCCTGGGAATTAGATGGTCATAGCATTAGTTCTAACGTAAGTCTGACTGCACATGTGAAGTTTTTCTCTGTATTTTGTCCAAAGCTTCCAATAAGCGTGTTTTCTAAATTTGTTTCTTCATTGGGGATTGTGCCAGTTAAATGGAGATGCATGTGGAGAGTAATTATACATTTTCCAACATCATATTCTTGGAACACCAGAGTGTGATTTTTGCATGTTAAGAAACTGATAAAGATTATAGGACTAAGTGTTCAACCCAGCGTTTGCTTGCAGGGATGTAGTAGGAAGCTAGGTGGATATAAATAATTATCATCATTAGGAGATTTGGGGTCATAGCAGTCCCAAGAGGGATTTCTGTGGTGACTATTTCTGTTCCTAAATAATATTTGTTGTTTCCTGATCCAAAACCTTACAACTTAAGGTTCTTCAAATGATCATTTGGTTCTTTCTGATCCAATTTTGGTAGCGCTTTAGAACTTTATTTGTGATGTTCCCTGCCTAGATCACAATCCTTTTTTCAATTCTTGTTTGCTTGAGAGTAGAAATATTATAGCTTTATGGAGCTACTATCTTAATCACTTCAACAGCTTTGTTTGTTATTTGAGAGTACTGGCAAACTATGCAAGCATTTAACAACATTCTTGTGCTTTGCAGGGCATGACTATTTGTTGGTTTAAGTGAAGTTGTGAACTTACAAAACAAAAGGCAGTGAAGACCTTGCCTGCAAATCTTAGTGCCTTAACCATTTGGTGAGTTGTTGAGCTAAACATACATTATTCTTTACATGTATTTAAATTAAGTATCCATGTTTAACCGTATGGAAAAGAGATACTTGTGGTAACTTGTTTTTTGGGGGCCCGATTGTTGGGGGAGGTGGTGCTGGTGGTGTTTGGGGCAAGAGGGGCTTTGAGGGGATGTTAGTAGTAGTCTAGATTCTGTTTTTTCTAATCTATGAGAAGGGGGTTCATGCCCAAGTAAATGGAAGTATTTCTACTATATTCAAGGTCTTTCATGAGGCCTAAATCTTCATTATGTGAAATTTCTTATATTTAAGTTGTCTAAGAGTTTAAGATCCAATCATGCAAAAATGTATCTTTATTACTGCTGTACTCTGGGAAGCAGTCATGTACCGCAGATTACTGATTGTGTAGAGGAAATATTATTCTGTAGTTTAAAATCAGTAATTTTAAACTTGAAGATGTATGTATTAAAAGATTAAAAGCCCTGGCTTTAATAAAATAAGTGCAGAGGAAAAAGAATAGATAAATTAGACAAAACAAGAAAAAAAAAACCAGCACATTAATCATAAGAACATTGCAAATGAAAGTGATCAGGTATATCTGGTAGTTATATGTTAGTGATTAGTTCACTTAAATAATCTGCAATCAGAAAGTAATAGGAGAAGAACTCCACAAAAATGCAGTTGCATCTCAAATATGCCTAATATGCCTCAAACAGTGAAAAGATCATTTTAGATGTAGACATTATGAGCTAAGCTCTTTGCTATATCATTTGATTCATAGCATTTTGAATCTCATGTACAACCAATTTTGCATGTTATTTTATGCTATTTTTGTTTTGGCATTATATTATACGATGAAAGTGCCACAAATATAAAGACGTGTCATAGTTTTTTTTAAATAAAAGTGCAATTCATATAAATTTGTACAAAGTTCCATTCACAAAGAATTACTCGGATACGAGGATCAGTTAGTTCCACCTCTTTCACTGTATTTTGAAAATTCAATCTTATAATCTAAGCTACAAGGCCTTTGTGGCTTCAAAAGAAAAGGAGGTGTCTGCATAAATTAAGGTGTCTTAAGGCAATCAAAGAAATTTTATTTGCTGAGGACTTGTTCGAGGATCATTTACTGTAGAACTATATTTTCCTTTCTTCCAACAGACACTTACTAGTAACTCAGATGATCTTGCTAACTATTGATAACTAGCCGCATCTGAAACCCCACTAATTCCTATTACATGCAAATCCATTTCTAGTTTATGCAAGAACTACTCATGAATTCTATCTTCACCTAATGCAAAATGGAAGCCCTTGGGATGATAAGCACACACACAATTTATCATGCTATTTTTTTTTTTTTTTGTGATCTTTCTGGTGGAATGAGAGACATGGAAAATGTTATGTCATTTAATTTGGAAATTTACTCTTATCTTCAAAAATATTATCCTCCTAGCATGTAAAGTGTTAGATTGCAGTTGCCAAGGTGGAAGACAATGCCGTCCAACTGTCAGTAGAGAATGCAAGCAAATTTAATTGCCTAGAGTGAGCACTGTAAAGATGAATTGGCTAGGTTATTACAAGTTTTAAAAGCACAGGGGAACATTCAACCGTTGTCTGTAATAAAAACCCCTTAAAAAGCTGTACAATGTTCTAACAGAGCATATGGGTTTCTAGATTTATTAGATGATTTTACCTTTATGGAATCTCAATGCTTTGGTAACACAGTATGTTAATAGCAAAAGATCAGTATGTGTTATTCTGATGAGCTATGCATGTTTCGTAGCTTGGATCTTCTGCATGCATTGTGTACTACATATGAAAGAATAAATGCCTCAAGTAGCAAAACTGTTTCCATTAGCTGTTCATATTCAGTAGGCAATTTGATGGTTTGTGAGCCAGTATTAGTCGTAATTCAATCAAACTTATATTTGACTGCAACCGCAATAACAGACAGAAGTAATGGCATTTGAGATACTGTGCTTGAATGAACAAACAATTAATCAAATTGCATGTTGTATGCTTGCGTGCTCAAATGGATTTGAATAAAGCCTCGAGATTTTGATAATAACTTCCAATTGAAGGAATAGGGTTGATATAGATAACCTGCTAATTCTTTGAATAAGCAAATTGCCCGAAAAGGAAATTTTGAGCTATTCTGGTAAGTTTTGTGTTTGAAAATAATTGAAAGTTCTGAAAGGAGCCTGTTGAGATGTGGTAAGGATCTTTTACAAAAAAAAGTTGGAGTATTGCTGAAGCTTTTGTCTTCCTGCAACATCAAGTTCTTGTGTGTGTTGGTTATTGCTGTTTAGTTTTCTGTGTAACTATAAATTGAGAATTTCAAAATTAAAAGTTGGGGAAGCTAATATTGTGAAAAACATTAACTCCTAGAAAAAACCAAAGAGAAAGTAGAAGAAAAACAGACTTTGACTTCTAATACAATCTAATTCTCTACTTGTTTTTTTTTTTTTTTTTTTTTTTCCCCTTCATTTCTTATTTACTTCTCAAACTCCAGTTTTCATCTATTATTTAGCTGCTGTAATTGTTAATAAGTGAAAATGAAAAATGTTGGGAATTATTTGATAATTTTTTTAATAACATATTTGACTTGACTGAATTAATTGCCCTTTCTAATTTAGTTTGATGTATTGTAAATTCTGTTTATAGCCCCATTTACTTATTACCTCCAGCAAGCTTTCTTTGCAATAGCTCCCGCTCTCCTTTGCTGCATTTTTTATGTATTAACAACTGATTGAACTTTACATGATACTGCAGCATGATAAAAGGTTCGTTGCACTGATTACGTGGAAAGTGAACTGACAAACAACTTGGCAAATCCAACTTTCAGTTACTTTCTAAATGTGTCCTTCTGGTTTGTACACTAATAGCTGCTTCAGTTCTGTGGTCTGAATTCATTCTTTTAGAATCTATGATTTTGGAATTACGAGAAAAGACACAAGAAAATGACAGAGATTTGGAGTTAATAATATACTTCATAAAGAGTGTTTCTTTTAGGGTCTGGATTTACTTCTTTTGGGGTTATGCCCCTAGCAATTCAAAATGTAGAGAAATTCAAAAACGATAGGCAAAATGGGTATCTGCTTATGACAGGGGTTTTGTGTTTATTGTTTTATGTTATATATATTTTATTTACGGACCCTATTACTTGGTTGGGCTTCCACTAAGGTGGTGACTGACCATGGTGATGAAGTAGAAAAGTAGATATTCGGGTATACTCTTGCCCCCACTTATATGTATTCACTCATTCTAAGCCATTGAAAAGGATCCAACTTACATGTCATAGTTTCCCTAAAAGTCTACATTTGACTATGTATTCACTATTCAGTATGTAGTGCTAATGAATAGAATCCAATAACCAATGAAGGCTTGTCAGGTGCAAATATTTTTTTTGCCATTTAGTATATCAAGCATTTAGTGAGTTGTTTATTTGAAAAATGTCAGTACTTGGGTTCTTTCCTTATCAAGCATTGAACTTACATGACACATTTAAACTTTTGAAGGCTGCAAAGACTTGAGAAGCACAAACAGGTCTCATTGGTATGTTGTAGCAGTAAAATAAAGTTTCAGTTAAAGGACAGGCATGTGCATTTTGCACTTTTGGATGCAAAATTTTGTCAGCTATCACATTCAATGTATTCATAACCATTTTGCTTATTTACTTTTAGGGCTTTGCAGAGGGTTCTGTAGATTGACTCACAGCTGGCATTTTTGTCGCGTCTTTTATCCCCACTAGACACATAAAAACAAGACATCAACCAGGTTTGTTTTGCAAAACCAATGTTTGTGACTAGCCAATTTTTGTTTGTCATTTGCAATATGTATTCATGAGCTCTGGAGCGGATATGCATTAACAGATGTATGTTTAAGGATTAACAGATAAAATTTTCACAAGAAGTCCATGGGATTAGATGGGATGAACACCTTTTTTTTCTTTGAGAATTATATACAGAACAAGCTAAGGGAGATTCTGAGTAGCTTTTCATGGTTTCATATGTAGCAGTTCCTGGTGAGGAAGACTTACTTTGAGGGTCTTTACTACGGATTGGCTGGAATTCTTGTTGGTGTCTCAGTTAACTCCCATTAATGGAACTGGTGGGTAACGTTGTTTTTTCATGATGTCTCAACAATATGCATGCCCTGCATCTGGTTTCTGCATGCTTGATGCATGTGGTTTGCTAAGTAAGCTGCAATTTGTCTATGTTAAAATTCCTTCCAGATTTTTCTTTGAGGACTGAAAATGGCTTGTGCATTTCTTTGAGGACTGAAAATTCCTTTCAGCTTTTCTATTGGATTTCTCTGATGCATTTTCCCTAGTTAAATAGTTAAACAAAGCATACCTTGTCGTCTATTAACTGCATGGTAGTTTGAAGCATAATTTTCTTAGTGTATCTATTTTATGTGAGAAAACGAATAGGGCATCTTCTGTGGCTTTTCGTGTGATAAGTATCATGATCATAATCTACTTCTTGTTCAAGAAGAAGAAAGAAGCCAATTTTCAACAGGAGGTAAATGGGATGTTTTACTGCCAGGTCTTCAAGATGGACTTGAAACAAAGACGTCTACTTTATTGTGAATCAATGAAATTGGTGTCTTCACTGACAGGATCCCTTAAGAATCTTCTCCACCTGGGAAAAAGATGGTCATAGCTTAGTTCTAGCCAAATCCTACGGGCATGTTGGAAGTTTATTTCTCGGTATTTTGATCAAGAGCTTCCACGTAATTACATTTCAAATTTCAGTTGCTTCATTGGTGATTCTATTAGTCTACTGGAAATGCATTTTGACAGTATTTTTGCATTTTTATCCAAATTCTTTGTATTCTCGAAACAACAGGGTGCAATTTTTACATGTTGAGAAACTAATAAAGAGTATAGGGCTGTGCTTTCTTGTGAACTCTGCAATTGTCTAAGTAGCATTAGGAGAATCAGTCTCTTTGAATAATGTGAAGCTCTTCTGATGTCTGTTAAACACCAATCGTGCAAACAGGCACATGTTACCTACTCCCATCTTGTGCTTTGATTCCCATGAGATCACTTTTTGAAAGAAATCCAGTAGATTTCATCTCTTGGTAGTTTCTAATATCTGAAGGTTATATATGTGTAAGTATCATTATTAGGAAACATGGTTCTGCAGCAGTCCTTAAATGGATTACTGCGGTGGCTATTTTGATCTGTTGTAAGCTGAACCCAGATCCCAGAATCTTTAAAATTTATTGGGGACCTTCTAATAATAAAATTGATCTTCTTGATCAACTTATGCTAGCATTTCAAAACTTCTACCTGTGATGTTCTCTGAATATTTCTTGTTAACCCTTTCTTTCTTGAAACTGTATTTCTGCTATCAGCATTTTTTTTAGGTATTATCTCTAATGGGAATGACTCGAATATTTGTTGTTGTTTGACATAACCAGAAAAGTGTTGAAGCATTTAACTACAATTTTACCTTTTGAATTTCACAAAACAAAAATTAGTCAAAAGCCTCTTTCCTTGGCGCCTTATCATTTGGTTAGTTTCGAGCTAAGCATATTCTTTACATGTATTAATATCAATGAAGTTCATTTCTAAATGCGTGTTAGTTGGCTGTTCAACTTGTACTCGTTGAGAGAGCTTCGTCCTTATAGAGAGTCAAAATGTGGCTTAAATAATTGCAGCAGCCGAGGTGGGATTTCTAAAGGACTTGAAGGTTCTCTCTTTTTTTTTTCCCAAGGCTGTGAGGACCTGAAAAATTTTCTTATTTTATTGTATATTACTAGTTTATTTAAATATTTATTCATCCGTTTTTTCCGAGTAATTTATTTAACCCTTTTAGAACCATTTACATGGAACTATGACTTGCATATATTCTTAAAATGTCCCGTTAATAAATTTAATTTTCGGAAGTTTGTTTAGTAATATTTAGTGAATACGCGTTTGGAAGCAATAATCGATTTGAGAGTACGGTGACCTTGGAGATTTGAGGACTCGTACGTTAGTCTTAATATAGATATTTTTATGAATAATTACCCTAGTATTAGTTAGTTATATTATCGTTATGAGAATTTTTTAGAAATTTTTTTTATCGCGCACGAGTCGAAAGTTCGCGTTTTACGCGCGCGACTAATAGATGGATTTTAGAAATTTATTTTTGACTACTAAGACTGGATAAATATGGTATTTAAGGAATTACATTTGAAGGTTTAGTACACAAGTGAAACAAATCCAAGAGGAAACGAGTACGAAACGGACGTGTACGCGCACTATTGATAGTTGACTTTCACTAAACTTTGGCCCCAAGCTTTATCAAGCTTCCAAGAGAAGCTTTAGCCATCAGATTTTCACTCTCTCTCTTCTCACTCTTGCTGGCCGAAAACTTAAGGGAGAAGAAGAGCAAAGCTTTATCTCATTTCACCTCATTTCTTCCATTCATTTCACTCCAAAATCACTACACAGACTCACAACAACTTGGAGATTCATTTGGACTAGGAAGAGAGCAACATTCTCACGGTTTTCTTGGAGCTCATAGTGACCGAAAATTCTGCTTTATCATCATCCAAGGAGTGGTAATCGTCTAACCTTCTGAACTTGATTCTAGTGAGTTAGATTTGGCTTGGAAGCTTGTAACTTCATGTAAGTATCTTTATTTGGTTGGAAATCATGTGAGTGGACTTTATGAAATCCCACAATGGACTTGTTGGACTGATATGATGATTTTGGGTGTTGTTTATGTTGATTAAGTGTTAAATAAGTGAGTATAAGTTGAAAAAGTGGAAGGAAACCAAACGGAGGTTGATGCATGAGAAAGAGCCGATTCTGCCCTGTTTGTGCAGAGGCCTTGGTTCGATTTTTTTGTGATCAAATGACCTTGATTTTGTTGTAGATATGTTGTATAGGTTGTGTGGAAAGTTTCCACAAAAAATCACTTGATTTGGTTGGGTAAAAATTGGATTTTCGAAAATTCTTCAAACCTGGAAAACGGGTAACAGAGGTACCCTGGCAGTGAATTTTGAACGATCATAACTCTTTGCTCCAACGTCGAAATCAAGTGCCATTTGCAACATTTGAAACTAGACACTTTCAGTTTTTTAACGGTATAAAATGCATTCGCTGATTCGACTTGAGTGAGCCGTACTAGTTCTTTAAAGTTGCCTGTTCTGTTTTATTGCTGTGCTAGAGAGTCAGTGATGTACTGGGACTTATTGCTTGAATTTGAGATAGCTATGAACTGAATTTCAAAACGATTTCTTCTAATGAAATATAGCCTTAGGAAATTAGTTTCCAACGGTATCAAGTTTTCCAATTTCGGACCTAAGGAGTGCAAGATATGATTTTTGAAAGATTGCTCCTTAAAACTGAAAATTTCGAATTTGAGGAGAAATGAGTTTTTGAAAACTTTTCTCTACCCTCTGATAATGATTAATTGTTTTAAACTCGATTTCATGAAGGAAATCAGTTTTTCTTGTGTTAATAAAACCTCACTTTTGAACCTTTATTTTGAGTGGTTAAGGTTCTTGGTTTGAGATATTGACTAGTCTAAATGAGTGTAACTCCTTTCTTAATTAATACATGATTGTGAGTGAAAAATATTTGTTAATGGTTCAGGCGTTCAAGGAGATTTCAAAGGGAATCTCGGTGTGGACACTTAAAGTTTTGTTTGCTCATTTATTTTGAATTGGTGAGTGTCAAGTGCATGACTTGTTGTGTTTACTTGATTTATTTGCTTATATACGTGAATATCACTTGACGAGACGAGTGTGTAATTTATCGCACTCGCTCTCCTTTACCCAAACCTTACTTGCATTAAACTTGATTTTTAAAGTCGATTGGAGTGAATCTCATCGGCGAAATATACTTGTTTACGTGTGCATGTCGTGTTTTCGTGCGTGTCGTGTTGTCGAGTAGAGTGAACCTCCTTGACTTACGGGGATGCCCAATTCTCTTAGCCAATCTTGCAACTCGAGTCGGCATGGGTTTGGTCGAGAAACTTGATAAACCAAGAGAATAACAAAACACAATTTGATCTTTTGAGATCTTGTTCGGCATACCCATGGAGTATCGCTCTTTTCGTGCGTGTTCTTAAAACAAAACTTGATCTCTTGAGATATTGTTCGGCATACTCGTGTAGTATCGGCTTTTTCGTGCGTGTTTGGTTACGGATCCGAGATGGTGGAAATGTGGATGGTGGAAGTATTAAGTGAAATTTCAACGGACTTAATATCTACCCGGATGACGGAGTGTCATCAAGAGGGGATATCGGATCGAGCCGTGGCAAAGCAAGTGGAAATTAGCTCTTGAGAGCTCCTGTATCCTATTCAAGTGTGTTTAATTGTTAATTGTGAATTACTTGACTTTATCGCTTTATTTATGGTATAAATGTTATTGATACTTGAACTACGTGCTTGCATGATTTTCTTGACCTCACTAAGTATTGGCTCATCTCATTAGTTTTTTTTCCTTAACAGGAACCGAAATGGAAAAAGTTAAGGAAATGCCGACTTGAGGCACTATTGTATTAGTGTTTTAATTGTAATCGACTAAACACTTTTGGATGTTGTATATTTTGGGGAAAGTAATTGTAAGTTTGAAATTGTGATGTAAGATTGAATATTTATGTATGGAAATGACTTCGCACCCTTTATTCCGATTTTCATTGTTAGTATTAGACTTTAAGTTTGAAATGGAATTGTCTCGAGTCTTGGCGAGAGTTGGGCATGCGTCCCGCAGATACCCTTGGGTTCGCCCTTAGGAGAAGTGAGGGCGTCACAAAGGCTGAGATAGAAGAAAATGCCGCTTTTTCTAACAGATTCATGACTTCAAGATTTAGGGTGCATTTGATAAAATAAAAGTTTGAACTCTGAAATATGAATTTATTAAGTTATTAAATTGTTAAGTATTAAATCAAATACATTTGATTGTATATTATATTTAGTGATAAGTGTTATCTTATCACTTATTTTTGAAAACAAATCTTATCTAAAACATTCAGTGGCACTTAATTAATTCAGATGCTGCATTTTTTATTATTAAACACGTTGAACATATTAATATTTGAATCTTTAAAGTTTAAATGCCGTGGTATACATAGCATTTAGCCTAGCCTTGAAGAAGCAAAATTATGGCATCGGAAGCTCTGGCTCTCTGCCTTTATTTGCCAATGGCTTGGGCAGCTGAAGGCACGGACTAAGCGGAAGGAATTCAATCCATGCTGCTTTTAGTTACACATGCAAATATAGGACTTGTCGTTGGTGGGGGCAATTTAAGTGTTTACTTTTTGGCATTTAGTAGATTTTGATATGTGTTTTTTGTCATTTTCTTCTTCTTTCTTGTATCCTTCTGATTGCAGTAGCATTTGAAAGACATCTCAAATTAGAAATCAATGCCACTTGACAAAGTGAAAAAAAAAAGGGTCATTTCATTGATTAAAAAATAGGCAAAACTTCAATGGCTCAGAACAGGAATTAAAAAAAAAATAACAAAGAACCAGCCAAAACATCCTCTAACTAAATAAAGAATCTTTGGTCTAGATTCAATTGCGACTCGAATCCTATTTCTATGGGCTTCTATCCACTCTACAGTTCAGCATACAAGGCTAAATTGCAAGTCCATAATAACTTACTCCACAACCACATTGTAAGGTGAATTCGATTTTTGGAATATCCACTGATTTTTAGCTTCCGAAATACAATAAATGGTCATAGCTAGAGCTAATCTGTACACTATAAGGGTAAAAGTTAATTACAGTGCAATCTCTAGAACTTTCTTAACTAATTTAGCAATTATTAAATTGAGTGTATCCGCCCTCAAAATTCTAGATAATAAGGAACTCCATAGCTTTGTCTTTTTTTTTTTCTCTCGTCTTCTCCCTTCACAAAATGTTTCCACAATCAATGCCCTCCACCTGTGACGACATCACCTCCCCCTAGGACGTACCCAAGGATTCGGTGGACTGTCTGCCCAACTCTCGTCAGGACTCACTCATGTAATCGAAATTTACCAAATATAAACCTTAACAATAAGGGTAATAA